GAAGCTGAGGCGGACACACACCGTGACTGCTGCCAAAGAAGCACGAGACCCTGGGCCCGGCTGCCTCCGGGACAGGAAGGCCGAGGCGTGGAACTGAAGGCCATATTTTCAGTGTCTACTTACACAGTGACCACTTATCAATACGTGTGGTGCCCAACACCGAGAGACCCTCCCTGCTGCAAAGACACACGTCTCCTCGTGGAGCTCACGTGTTCCGAGAGGGGAGATGATAGGGAAATAAGCAAACAGCACCGCACTAGGTATGATTGCAGGAAAAAGCAACCACTGAGCAAGCACTGAACCATTGGGTTCGGGGTCTGGAGCCTCCTGAGAGCAGTGCTGTGGGGCTGGCTTCAGTTTTAAGTAGGCTGAGAGCGTGAGCCAGTCTGAGATGGAGCCCAGCAGAGACAAGGAGAAAGCAGTGTGGTGATCTGGAGACAGCATTCCAGGCGCAGATACAGCATGTGCAAAGGCCCTGAGGTGGAAATGTGTCTGGAGCATTGGAGGCATAGATAGCACGAAGTCCTGTGTGACTGGAGCAGAATAGGCAAGGGGACACAGAGAAGTGGGGGACAGGTTGACCTTAGTGAAGAATAACCAGAAGACAGTGGCTTACAACTATTCTCAAAGAACAAAGACAACAGTGGGATTTATGAAAAAGAGAGGGTAAGAGCATACTGTAAAGGACTGTCTAGGAACAGAGGGTGTTGCTTTGGCATTGGGTTTTTTGTTTTTTTGTGGTACTGGGGATTGAGCCCAGGACCTTTGCACTGAGTTAGGCCTTTTTAATTTTTTATCTTGAAACAAAGTCTTGCTAAGTTGCCCAGGCTGGGCTTGAAATTATGATCTTCCTGCCTCAGCCTCCCAGAATGCTAGCTTATAGGTGTGCACCTCCACACCCAGCTCTGCTTTCATACCTTTGTTGTCCGTTGGGTAAGCTGACCAGGAGGCCCCAGCAGCGAGGTCTGTGGGACTGCTCTTCAGGTAGGTGGGGCCGTCTCTGCTGCTTATGAGTTCTCCAGGAACCTTGTGTGTGGCACTGGGCAGTGTGGTGGGCACCCTAGGTCCCAGGCAGGACCCTGTCATTCTCTGACCAGGTCTGCACCACTGATCTGCAGAGGAGGCACAGCCTCGTTGGCCTTGGTGGGCTTAGGTTTTTCTCCGGAAGAGATGGGCACGCCATGGTCATGTGTGTTCTCCAGGGCTGGGGTGGGAGCCCGGAGGAGGACACTGTGGACATGGGCTCAAGGACATGCAGGCCTGAGGCCGGCGTGGGGGTGGGTCAGAAGTGGTCGGTTCTGGATGTGCTGTGCAGAACAAGGCCGGGGTGTGTGTGACTTTGGGACTCTGGCTGCCTGTTGTGGGCAGCAGGGAATTTTAAAGCGTGAGCAAGGATCAGAGTGGAAGCCAGCAGCTAAGCCACGTCTCCTGCCTTCTCTCTGGTTCAGTTCGCGGGACCAGCCAAGCCTGGATCCTGGTGACTCTGGGGCCTTTTCAGGGCAGGAGTGACCTGCAGCCAGCAGTGGGCGGTGAGGCCCAGCAGCTCGAGGCCCAGCTGGAGGTGAAGCTGGTGACAGCAGGCAGCCCTGTGGTCCTTGTGGGGAACCTCATGAGGCAGGCGGGCAGCAAGCTGGCCTTCTCGGCATCTCTGCATCATGCGCTGAGTGACCCGGCCCAGGTGACAGGTAGGAGGTGGGGCCCACCGCGAGGCCCTCAGCCGTCACTTCCTGTGTCTGCCTGGTGCCCCTTCCGACCTGCCGCTTCCCCCAGGAACAGAGAGGCAGCAGCCTGGGGACCGCTGGGCTTCTGACCTGAAGGCCTGGGCCACTGTTTGAACACACAGCCTGCCTGGGCCCTGGAGCGGGAGTCAGGGCAGCGGCTCCGGCTCTGCTCCCCATGTGCTGTCCTGGAAGATCCCGGGGGAAGCCGGGGCCGGGCTGCGGGTGCATGAAGCAGCGGCGGTGGGCCAGTGTGGCTGTGCTGGGACCCTAAGAGCCAGCAAGGCTGGAGGTGTGTATCCTGGGTGCTCAGCACTGTCGCAGAAGCAACAGCTGCAGAAAGTGAAATTAGCCTGGCCTGGTGGTCCACACTTGTCATCCTAGCGCTCTGAGAGGCTGAGGCAGGAGGATCACAAGTTCAAGCCCAGCCCTATTTCAAAATTTAAAAGAACTGAAAAGATTGAAAAAGGTTCTGGGGATGTAGCTCAGCGTGAAGACTCTGGGTTCAATCTCAAGCATTACAAAAAAGGTGCAATTTAGGGGCACCTCGTGATGTACCATCCTTTCCTTTCTCCTCTGTCCCACACCATTTGGTTTTATTTTACTTTATTTAGGATTTTGGGTTGCGGCCCACAAATGGGACATCTGCATTATCTATGGCCTGTTGTCACTGTTCCCCAGCGGGACAGGCAGGTGTTTCCCCGGGGTGGTTCCCACGGCTCCTCCTTGCCCAGGCCTGGGGGTATCATCCTGTGGCAAGCGAGGCATTTACCTCGGCTCTAAATCTGAGGGGGTGCTAAAAACTCCACAGTCAAGGTGAATCCTGGTCTAATGCGATAGTTTACAAATGATTATCAGTGCAACCCCCCTCATATCTCCTATAGAAATGTCTCCCCAGAAAAGCAAGCTGACCCCACCCCCATCAGTGGCCTGTGGGGTCCAGGGCTGGGCAGGCAGGGCCTCCTGGGGTCTCACTGCTGGGGTATCCCCAGGTCGGGCTCCAACACCAGGAGGGCGGGGCGGACTGCACTTGGAGCTGGAGGTGAGCTGTGGAAGGCTGTGGAACGAGAACCGCAACCAGAAGCACGTGCACATCCGCCAGACCTTTGGGAAGCGCTCGGGGCCTGCGCTCAGCAATTACTTTGTGAGGTGAGCTGGCCGTTGCCGCAGAGCCGTGTCCCTCCTGTCCAGTGTGAACACCTGGCCCTGGGGAACCTATATGCCACCCGGCTTTGGCGGCAGTGTAGAGATGTTCCCTTCCCATCTAGTGCCCCTGTGTCCCCAGGGTGGCAGAGGCGGGATCAGGTGCCAGGACTGCCTGCGGGTAGGCTCGGGATGAGCAGGCTTCCAGTTGTGTTTATTATTTCCAAATAATAAAGTCCAGGAGCCCAGACTGGCCTCAAACGCACGGCAATCCTTCTGCCTCAGCCTCCAGAGTGCTGGGATTACAGGCGTGTGCCACCATGTCCTGCTGGTAATTTCTTATTTTTAGAAGATATCTGGCCTCGGTGTTTTAGTGATGAGACTACGGACCTGTGCCCATGTTTATACTGTTTCCAAAGTGTGAGCTTTACCCTTCAGCTGGCAGTGAGCGGAGGAGGAAGGTCAGAGGGGCAACGCCAGCCAGGCCGTGGGTCCCCTGCTTGGCCTGTCGTATCACTTCGTTCCTGGGAGGTACCCACTATGCATCCTTGTTTGAAAAATGAGTAATTAGGTAAAAGGACTTGTTCAAGGTCATGCAGCCTCTTTGTGACAGAATGGGATTGAACTCCCAGCCTGCCTCCCTGCAGACCTTATACTCTTTACCTTGTGGCTGGACCTGGCTGTGCCGGAGTTAATGTGTCATAAAATAATCCACTGAATGATCCCTCAAGAGGAGAGAGCACTTGCCACTGCATACCATGAGTTCAGTGTTATTCTGAAATCAAAACCAGACAAAGCCATGTCAAAAGGCAAGCTACAGACTCTCTTATGATACAGAGTAAAGCTCAAGAAAATCTTATCAAATCAAATTCCACACGCCCAGTGATCTGCCTTCTCTGACCACGCTCTACCTCTAAACCACCCCGTCAGCTATGAGCTCTCACTGAACTCACCCACTGAGGAGTGTAGCACCCTGTGACCCAGCCACTTCCAGAAGCCCCACCTCTGAGCACGAGACGTTGGGGAGACATTTGAGACCTAGACCCTAACATTCTGCTCCTGGCTCCCAAAAGGCTGGTTTCCTGTGTCTCATTATGCGAAACGCCTTCAACCCATCTCTAAGAATTGCCAGAGTCTTAAAGCTCCAGCGTTGCTGAAAAGCCCTGCTCTGCAGTCTCCTCTGAGACTCAAGGCAGCCTCTTAGCCATGAGCCCCAGGAGTGATCCAAAAGGAAAGTTTAACACCTTCACCACGCAGTTACAGTGGCGCAGGGTAAACAGTCCCATTCCAAAAGGGAGGATGGGAGGATCGAAAGGAACTGGACCACAGCAAGGCTGAAACCCAGCATGGCAAGCGCTCAGTCCTGTAGTTCCATGTCCGGCACGCGGGGCCTGTGGTGGTGAGAGGCAAGCTCCCCGGCAGCCCTGCGCACTTCCGCACTGCCAGTAGCAGCCCAGTCTCTCTCTTCGCCTGGCTCCATTCACTGCTCTCCTCAGCACACGTTCCATGTTCCAGGTATCTCCAGCTTCCTGGGGTCTCCACTGTACCTTTGGCTTCCTTCTCACAGCTTTATGCACTCCCCTTCCAGGGGCACACTGCCTGGCCTTTCCTTTGAAATCTGGGTTCCTCTGTGAACCCATAATGTTTGCATTCTGCATGCAGGAATTCTTACATTCTCCATGTAACACCCATAGCACACCAAAGCCTGCTGCCAGCTTGAGCAGCAGCCTGGGACCCTTGGGACCATAGCCGTCGCAGCTCCTGAGTGCTTGCACGGCTGAGCAGGGTGGAATGGGTCCAGGCGAACCAGTTCCCTAAGTGGCTCTTCTGTAGTGTGTGGGGGGATTGGTGGGGAGCTTGCTTAGTCTCTAAATCGCCCAGGTTGGGCTCAGGCTTGCCATCTTCCTACCTCGGCCCACTAGAGTACTGGGATTAGAGGTGTGTACCACTAAGTGTTCACTGACTCTCCTATCGGGTTAGAGAGGGAGGGGCAGAAGGAGGAACAGCAGGAGCCCCGCTGCAGTGCTGGGCTGGGGCACATCCTTAGCCGGCCGGCCGCCCCTGGCTGGGGTGGAGCCAGGGAAATGTCTGAGCCCAGAGCTGCTCAAGCCGGGGCATCCCGGGGGTGGCCTTCCCTAGCCTGTGCTGCAGGTACCCGAGAGGCAGGTGGACTGCCGTGCACACCAGCACCACTCAAGCCTGAGCTGGCCACACAGGAAGGCAGCACCCATCTGAAGGTGCAGCGCAGTGGGTGGCCACCCCTTGTGGCCGGTCTGCGGTGGACGGACTCGTCCCAGGCCACCCTGTGGAGACGGGAAGGTGAGTGTCAGCTGCGGGGCCTCCTTGGTCAGCAGCTCATGTTTATGCCCCTATCTTGGATACCTTTACTTTTTATGTGCTGGGCTAGTTCAGTACTCAGACCTTGTGTGTGTCCTGTGATGCTTGGAATTACGCGCTAGCTTCTAGCCTCTGCCAATCGAGCTCCACATCACTGGGCCTTGCTTCCTCCCAGACCATATCTCCCCCCATTCTCCCTATTAGCTACTATTTTCTAGCTCCTCAGACCTCTTTTATGTTCTCCAAACTATGCAGGGGCTTTGGGCTTGCTGTTTCTTTCCCCTAAAAAAATTTTCTTTTGCTTTTGAAAAAGGTGTTTATTATAGTTTATTCTAAAATCAACTTTTACTTTTATTCAAAGCATACAAAATTTAAAAGTGAATTAGTCTGTTCCAGTTGGGTTAATGTTACTTGGGGGCTAATTATAGTATACTCTGCTCACGTATGTGCATAAAATGAATTTTTAAAAACTAAAGTTCATAAGAAAAATTATCCTCTGTCTCCTGTCTTCCTATTGCAAGTCTTGCTGACAGCAACAACCACTGTACATTCTTTTAGCTCTCTCTTCAGTAATATAATCGTACTGTGTTTTAAAGTAATATAATCGTACTGTGATTTCTTGACTTTTCTGTTTTAGGCATCTCCTGTAGATTTCTTACTAGAAAAGATTGAGAGC